GGCGGCGGCGGCGGCGGCGGTGGCAATTGTTATCATCGCCGTGGCAAAAGTACGTAGTAGTGACAGTAGCAGGGGTAGTAGGAGTAATAGTAGCAGAAATACTAGCAGAAGAAATAGCAGCAGCGGCGGCGGCAGCAGCAATAGTAATAGTATTAAGACTAATAATACTACTAGTGCTAGCAGTGCTGGTAGTAATCTAGTTGTGGTACCGGATATTCGTGCCAGTGCGAGTACAGGTTTTTTATGGTCATCGTTTTTGGATTAAAGCTGCAGCGGCGACAAATACCACCCCTTATTCCCAAGGTATCTATTGGTAATTGGTTGGCACTACAGTAGGTAGACTGATTGCCCTACATTTGTAGTCTACCCTCCGGAAGTTGCACTGTCATTTCCTGTGTCGAATTTAATCTATCCAGGTACCTGGACCTGGGCTTTCTGGGTAAACTGATTGATGATGGGCGGGACTCTTGAGAGTTCTCTTGTCGCTTTCAGGTGAGAGGAAAGGAGTTCGTTTGACCCAACCCACCGCCAAACTCATTGAGTCCTGGGACTTGAGATTCTTTCCTTTTGCATAATATTCCAGCCCTCGAGCAAGAGTTCCCCAAACGGGGTGAGATGCCAATGCGAAGAGCTCTGGGAGAAAGCGTCGAAATGAGCTGTTTGCTGTGCTCTTGCGGATACGGATGTAGAGCTTTAGATCAGACATGTTATCGGGAGGAACGCTAACACAACAATTCTGTGATGCTGGGTGCCCTATTGGCCGAAGAGCAGAGGAAAATCGAATCTGCTATTGGAATTGTGAAAGCTATGAGCGCAAGCACTGCAGTTTGCTCTCATTCGCTGGACCCGCCCCTCCACATCTTCCCCTGAAATCATGCGGGAAGTCTGCTAGCAGATTTCATTTCAAGGCAGCGATATGCAGCGATGAGGTAGGGCTTACGTCAATGCATTCCTTCAAGTCTCCAATTCGTTCGAAGGAACGCTTTTCTTACGAGCTTCAAATGACGACATTGCGCATGCCATAGGCGAGCAGCTGCGTCGCAGAAGGCTTACTGCACGCAGAGTTTCTCAAAGTTGACATGGGGTTTGAGGTTCGGAGTGTCAGCAAAGGACAACTCGGACGTTTGTGTAAATGTCCTGACTAGGGTTCAACGAAGCCCGCCAAACAGCCAGATGCATGTCGCATTGAAATGCCACTGAAGGTGTTATTCTTCTGCCTGACGTCAGTGGCTCATGAAGCCCAGGAGATGCAGGACGGATGCTTTCACGGCCGCGCCTGTGCACTTCCGCTGCTAGCTATTCCGCGGCTGCAGTCGGCTTCTCGAATGCTTACAGTCAACGCAAACTAAGTCCTCACATCAGCTCAATCTTAGAGAAAGCCTTCACGGCGCCTCGGAGGAAGCCGGCCATTTTGCATACCCCATGGCGAGCACCATGCACGCCAATGTCTACGGATACAGCAGGAGCAGAACTGCACACTTTTCAAAGCAATGGAAATGGGCCGCAAGGCCTCAGCAAGCAGTGCTACACATTCGTTGCCAAAGCCATTCGCTGCCGCTGGGCCACCCGCGCGCGACACATTTCGCATGGCCTGCCTCAATGATAATCAGGAATTTTAGGGCTGGGAACAAACTCAAAGAGGTTGGTGGTCCTGCTAACCATCGAGCAGGATGTTCGTCTGGACGTGCTTGTCAAGTTCCCCGATCTGGCAATATTTCAAGAATTTACGCCTTGCAGAGACTTTCTTGTCATTTTTTGAAGTTATCAAATTTCGTAAAGGCAAGGAAATTTTTCTTAATCTTTTACTAGGGATCGACCGGGCTTTGTGGTTTTTTTAGCACCGTCACTTTATGTATCTTATGGGCCAGATCTGCATCGTAATGCGGTGCGGCGCAGTGTAAAAGATTTTGAACCCGATTTCTAGATAATAATGGATTAAAATTTATGAATTAGTTCATTTCAAAGATTTGATAGTGCCGACGGAGAACCTCAATATTGCAGCGCGGCCACTTGCGGTCATTTGGCTTGCGTGCGGCCTAGGTTTTCTGGCTCACCTTTAAAATGCCTCCTGCAGGCTTCCTAGGGGTTCTAAAATCTCCAAGATTTTTGGCGCGGGGGGCGCGACCAAAAATCTCGGAGATTTTTGGTCGCGCGGCCCTTGCCTCCGGATCGGTTTTCCGCGTGATTTATCTCTCTTTGGCTATTTGCACGGCTGCTCCGCCGAGCGCGTAGACGCGGGATGGAGAATCAAAATCTTTTAGAATTTCTAGATTGGCAGTTTCTGTCCACAGGGATTTATGCGCTTCCCCGAGCCGTCGCGTAGAGAGTCCAAGAGAGATAATCGAGGCGGAAAAAGATCAGGCTGGATGCGGGGGCTGCGCGACCCCAAATCTCTCGAGATTTCGGTTTATTTCTCTCTCTTCGGCTGTCTGCGCGGCGGCTCAGTGTAGATCCGAGTCGGAGATCCAAAATCTTTCAGAATCAATCAATGAGATTTTTGGTCACGTTCGGTCTTATACATCGATTATTCATCGGGATTCACGTACGATTTTATGTATTCCGAGTGAGTTCTCTCTCTTTGATTGTCTGCGCGGCAGCTCGGTGGAACGTGAAGATCTGGGGCGGAGATCTTAAAATTTTCAGAATCTATATATTAAGCGTGGTCTCAAAATAGAACTAATTTCTTATGAGATTTTTTCTTTCTATTTCGATTCTATTTTTGGCCAAGCTGATTCTGTAGATAAGATTTATAGATAGGATATGAAAATATTTTTTTACGCTTTATAGATTCAAATGAATGAAGAAGATAGAAAGATAAAGATTTGAAGAGATGATGAAATAAATATAATACGAAAATGTTATTTAGAATTTTGGAAATTTTTTTCATATAGAAATAGATTGATTGATTGCTAGATATTCGGATTTGCAAATGAAAATCGATTTTCATGAAAATAAAAGAATTCTGGAGAGATTTTTAAATATGATTATTTTCTTCGAAAAATATATAATTATTGTGTTTGCGCGCATTAATTTTATCGATTCTCTTCTAAATTGGGTTTTATGAGCTTTCTTAGGGTCTTTTATTCTAGAATTTTCAAAGATGTTGGAATGGATGGCGCGATTGAAATCTCGGAGATATTTGGCCGCGTATCTGGAGCAATTTTTCACGGGATAGATTTATATTTGCGGATTTGTTAAGTTATTCATTTGAGAAGAGATATTTATGAAGATTTATATGCTCTCCCGGATCGCGATATAGATAATTCAAGAGAGATAAATAGGAGGGAAAGATTGGGTCTGATGCGGAGATTATGCCGCTAAAAGATTTTTCGAAATTTTGAATTATTCTTCTCTCTTTCGATTATCTGCGTGATAATTCAATAGAAGATGAAATTCTGAGATAGAGATCTAAGATTTGGCGATTTGCTTCTAGATCGAATTTCTATACGATTTATCTCTCTTTGAAGGTCGTATAGATTCGTGATGGGGAGTCAAAATCTTTCCTAAATTATGGGGAGACCTTATATATTTATAGGAATTTATTTGATTTTCCGAATCGCCGCGTAGATAGCCCAAGAGAGATAAGGAAAGACCGAATTGGATACGAGGCCGCACGACTTAAAAAAAAAAACAAAAAAAAAATTCTCGATATTTCTAATTATTTCTCTCTTTTCATTTGTCTGCGCGGCGGCTCAGGAGAACGTATAATCTTGGACAGAGATCTATAGGACGATCATTCTTAAGATATGGGATCTTATATGGAGATTATATAGCATTCCTCGAATTTCTCGTTATTTTTTTTCCAAATTATATATATGATATTATTATTGAAGACAAGAATATAATTGAAATTTAATATATGATAATAGAAAATATCATTAATGAAAATATAAATTTCTTGGATATAGAATAGAGATTAAAAAAATGAAAAAAAAATCTTAAATTTCAGATTTTGAAATCTAGATATCTGAATTTGGGATTTATAAAATTATAAATATATCCTCTCTAATGATTGATATCTTTCGATATTCTAATTCTAAATTAGATAGATCCGAGATCTATGCGCATTATGAATTTGAATATAATGAAAATATAATAAGAATGAAAATATTTATTGAATAGATGATTTTTCAAATTATGAAGAGATAATCGATTTATTGGAAGATTGATCATAAAATCTATCATTATCAATTTTCTGAATAAATTTGAAAAAGAATCAATATTTATCATTATGAATTAAATTGCTTTCGTAGAATAGATATTGATATATTTATTCTGAAAATCTGAAAATATATGAATATTTCATTGAATATAATGATCCTGAATAATTCTATAAAGAGAAGATAAAAGATTTTCTCAATCTCTATTTAAAGATATAAGTTTCTATCAATTTTAGGGATCTAATCGTCTGCGAATTTATCATATTCGTCATATATTGGATTTATCAGATCTATTAAATTATAATTATCTTTTTCGTTCATTTTATATTATTAGAAATAGAAGAATATTCATATATAAAAAAGGAGAATAGATATCATAATAATCTTTCTATTCCAGAGAATAAGAATTTTCATTTTTCTTTTATATTCGTAGAATCTCATTTCCCATTCCGTCTCTATCTTCGAGAAACCTATTTTATCTTTAAAATGAAAGATCTCGGATCAAATGATTCTGGAAAATAAGGTTCCTCAGAATATTTTCTTAGATTTGAAGGATCCAGATAGATCAGCTAGATTTGGGGAGATAGCTCTGCAAAATAGAATTCTCCGGATATACGAGTCATCATCAAATCTCATGATCCCTCATTATATGACGATGATGATAATGATCATGATCATGATTATGAAGGATGATAAGGATAAATTGAATCTAAGATCCTAAATCTCAAAATCCTATAATCTCAATCCTGAGTGCTAAATCCAAATCCCTCAATCTTAATCCTAAATCTCTAATTCTTAAGCTTAAATCTCTAAATCCTCAATCTTTCAAGGTAAATAGGATGCAAAGCATTCAATCTGAAGATTCTGAGGAAGAGAAAATTTCCAAAAGATAGAAATAGAATAGTATAAATATCGTATCGGAAGGCGGAAAGAATCATTGGGAATATTGATTATTCATCAAATTTCAAATTTGATATATGATAAATGGGAGAATTTTGCGTGCTGATGTGCGGCGAAAATGGCAGGGCCAGGACGCAATCCTATTTCCAAAATGAAACGTTTCATGGCAATAGATTTATTTTGAATATTCATTATATTCAGAGGCGGCGGGGAGCGACTTCATATATTATTATCAGAAAATAGATATTTCTTCTTTCCCTCTCCCTCCAAAAGAACGATCTCGGAGAATCTATAGTCGTATCGCCATATTCATTTCTATCTATTTTTAAATATCAGAAATATTCGTTTATTTATGATTATTCATATTATCAAAGTATTTATCTCATTTCTTCTTATCTTATTTTTTAATTA